GCCAGCCTGAAACAGCCCTCAGCCCCTCACCCAGCTGGCTACGCACACAGCGGGACCCCCCTACCTGAAGGGGCTGTGGCCAGCCTGAAAACAGCCCTCAGCCCCTCACCCAGGCTGGCTACGCACACCAGCGGGACCCCCCTACCCTGAAGGGGCTGTGGCCAGCCTGCTAACAGCCATCAGCCCCTCACCCAGGCTGGCCACACCCCCATGGGGTGAGGGTCCCTGTTGGGGGCTTGGCCAGCCCTCAGCGCCTCACCCAGGCTGGCCAGGCACCCCAGCGGGAACCCCCTCCCCCCCGAAGGGGCTGTGGCCAGCCTGAAAACGGCCCTCAGCCCCTCACCCAGGCTGGCCACACTCCCATGGGTTGGGGGTCCCTACTGGGGTCCCCACTGGGGGCTTGACCAGCCTGCAAACAGCCATCAGCCCCTCATCCAGGCTGGCCACACTCCCATGGGGTCAGGTGTCAGGGCCAGCCTGACAAGGTTGAGCCGGGCTGAGGCAGGGAGGTGGGAATTGAGAAAAGAAAGAAAGACAGGAAAGCGGGATCGGGAGGACTCCAGTTCTCGAGGAATTGAAGCGAGTTTATTAGCTATACAATCCTATTTATACACTACACACTGAATAGGAGGTCTGTCAAGAGGAATGTATTCTTTGTTCCTCTTAATCTCTAAGGGAGAGACATAGCAGAAGGACAAGTTCTCAGTACAGCATATCTCAGTAAATAGTTACAGACTTCTTGGTAAGCTATGAAAGGCTGTTCTCATTCTACTGATAATCGCCATCCAGACAAGTCTGGGAAAACTGTGTGGGTAAGGGTCCCAGCCTTGCTAGCCCCTTCAGGTGCAAGGACCTTGCCAGCTTACATCTGGCCCCCAACAGTCAGGTTACCTACTGGGATCCCCACTGAGGGGCTTGACCAGCCTGAAAACAGCCATCAGCCCCTCACCCAGGGTGGCCAGGCACCCCAGCGGGACCCCCATCCTGATTCGGGACACCCTTCAGGGCAAACCAGCCGGCCCCCACCTGTGCACCAGGCCTCTATCCTATATAATAAAAGGGTAATATGCAAATTGACCCTAACAGCAGAATGACTGGGAATGACTGGTCACTATGACACACACTGACCACCAGGGGGCAGACGCTCAATGCAGGAGCTGCCCTCTGGTGGTCAGTGCGCTCCCACAAGGGGAGCTCTGCTCAGCCACAAGCCAGGCTGACAGCTGCCAGCACAGCGGTGGTGGCGGGAACCTCTCCTGCCTCCTCAGCAGCACTAAGGATGTCTGACTGCAGCTTAGGCCTGCTCCCCGCTGGCAAGTGGACATCCCCCGAGGGCTCCCGGGCTGCCAGAGGGATGTCTGACTGCCAGCTTAGGCCCAATCCCCTGGGGAGTGGGCCTAAGCCAGCAGGTGGACATCCCCGGAGGGGTTCCAGACTGCGAGAGGGCACAGGCCGGGCTGAGGGACCCCCCGAGTGCACAAATTTTTGTACACCGGGCCTCTAGTTATTAAATAAATGGTTTAAATTTTTCTCACTTTTAATATGGTGTCAGCAAATATAATTTACATAGGCAAAAGCTCTAATTTTAAGAGTGTAAAGGAATGGTGAGACCAAAAACCACTGCTATATACCACACTACCTCTCATTATTTCTGACAGAGGGCAGCTGTGAGACTTGGCTATCCATGGGAAGCAGCTGTAGGTATCTATCAGTTAAGAGAAGTTATTGTGGATTGAGATAGTTAATACTAAGTCAGCAATTCCTAATGCCAGTTATGTACTGGTCTTAGTACCTGACATACATAGCTTTTATTGGTAGGCAGCAAAATGAGAAAAATAAAATTTTTCATAAAGCTAGATATAAATATAGTCAGTATGAAGAACTGCTTTTTAATTGTGTCCTTGTCTTTTATACTTCTTTGATGTAAGCATGGCCTTTATGAAATGATGGGAGAACAGGTGTTAGTTGTAAATTTATTCTTGTTTTAATGTCCTTATGTGTTCCTAGTTAGCAATCCTGTTCCAGTCCTCCAAATTGTTTTGTAAGACATATTGTTCCAGGGAAGGAATTAGAATCTAACATTTTGAAGGTAGGGAGAAAAGGTGAGTACATTCTAGGTCCAGATATGAGAGCCAAGTCAAGGTCCAGGAGGTCAGCAAAGGTTGGTTTAGGAGGCAAGTAGATACCAGTGCTAGGAAGGAGCAAATGCATCACCAAGAGAGTTGGTATCTTTGGTCTTGTGACAATGATTCTCAACCCAGTCGCACACAAAGATTGCTTGGATCACTTTTAAGAAAACACCAATAACCAGACCCCATCCTCAGAGATTATGATTTGATGAGCCTGCAGTGGGACCTGGGCATAGTATCTTTTTGAAAAATCTCATCAGGTGGAGCTATGATTGAGAACCACTGTCCTGGGGCCGTTGTTTGATCTGATAACCCGTGCTTTATGTTCATAATGTGTGGGGCACGCAAAAGCTGACAGAGCCCCGTTGGTGCCAGGACAAGGACCAGTCTTCCTAGGAAGATTGCTATTTTCCTAAACCATAGTCATATCAATATAGTTATTTAATGAAACTTACAACAAAAGTAAGTAAACACTTCTTTGCAAATATGACTCTCTCTTGTCAAACTGTGCCATCTGTTGACCTTGAGACTTGACACAAATTTTTACTTGTAAGAAGAGCCAAAATTATATTTTTTCCTCTCTAATCTCTTCTTATTTATAAAGATTTCAGAGGAAAAGCCTCCCTTTTTAGTTATCCAAAGAAGTAATAGAGTATAAACTCGTAATTGGCAAAAAGATTTCACCTCATTTTCTTTTCTGTAGGAATCTCTGAAGTTCTTCCTTGTACTCTGGGTTCTGGAAATCTAGTTTTGTGACTGACCTTCTATGTGTCCAGTACAACAAGTAGCTTGTTTCCTTTTTGAAAAGTATTGAGTCAAAAGTAACAGCATTAAAAACATAAATTTAGGTAGCAAATAGTAAGTTGTTAGTGTATTTTAAAACAGAAAATTGGCTATATAAAACTTATAAGTACAATAAGTTACATTTTAAATAATTCTTTTTTAATTTTAGGAAAGCAGAACTAGAAGAGACTGTGAGAAAGAAGATTGAGTTTGAGAGAAAAGCTCTGCATATTGTTGAACAGCTTTTAGAAGAGAATATTACAGAAGAATTCTTAAAGGAGTGTGTATGTATTCACAAATTATTATTTTTGTAGTAGAAAATTTTTAAATATGTGCAACATGAAACTTGCATTATTGAAATCTTTGAATCTGTTCTTAGTCACCACATGCAGGTAACATGCTATATAATTTGTGCATTAAAAAATAATCACATGTATTTCTTTTATAATGACTTTAAATGCACTAATGAAAAATAACATAAATATTTCACCCCTTAGTAGTAATTGTTTTAACCACTCTGCTATTCTCATTTTATTTTCATCATTTGCACTAATGATTCCAATGTCATTTTCCATGTTCTGTATGTTGTCCAATTTAGTAACAGAAGATTATATTTGTTAATGTAATTCCATTAATTTGGATATTTTAAAACCTCAAATATAGGTCCTTTATGATTTAACTCTTAACAAGAAAATTATCTGCATTTTTGCTTGCTTGTTTTCTTTAATGGTTCTATTATATGAAATTTTTGAATGGAAATTTATATTATGTCCTCATAATCCTTAAGAGAAAAAAAGAAATGGAAAATTAAAACTCAGAGCTTCTATTGCAAAAGTAATTTTTAGATTTTTCTAAAGAGGAATATAAATGTGATAAATTTAATTGATACAGGTAACTGCATAAAAATCTGTGTACCATGATGACTCTAAATACAAACATAAACCAGAAATGCTTCATTTGAAATAAGTACCTTATAGTACTCTCAATAAAAAACTGTTCAGTCCCTGCTAATACAGAAAAACTTCTTCAAAAATAATCTCAAGAAGTGAGATTATTTGAAGAGGAAGATGCCAATGGAAAAAAATTTGGTGTTAGCTTATAACTATCACTTCAGCATTCTCTGGTACAGTTTTTCAGAAGCTGGAAGATTTTGCACAAAAATTTGGTCAGGAGTCACTTTAACCTTTGTTATACTTTATTTTTTTAGATTGTGCTTTAAAAATAGGTAAAACTATATCTTGTTATTTTATGTGCTTTATTTTTTTAATAATTTTTTAAAATAAAATGTACTATCAGTATTTTGCTTTGGTATAACACTCACTATAACACCATCTCTTCCTCCTGCCTCAGAATTATTTCATGAACTATATAATCTACAAAGATGCATAGTCTACTGTGGCAGAACTTTTTTTGTTTTTTGAGTACTCACTACATGTTGAGCACTCTTCTAAGTTCTTTTTCTGTATTTTTTCCTCTGATTCTAACATCAAACCTATGAGACAGGTAGTGTTATTATCTTAGTATTTTCAGATGACATTTATGGGGCCTAGAGAGCTGATAGGAACTTTTTCCAATAATCTGGGATTGTGGGATGCCCCTTTTATTTCATTACAGGGGAAGTGTATCACACCTGCTCACTACAGCGATGTCGTGGATGAACGTTCTATTATCAAGCTCTGTGGTTATCCCTTATGTCACAAGAAGCTAGGAATTGTAAGTAATTTTAAAATATATAGACTTTCAATTTTTATATTTAATGAAGTTCTTTGTAGAAAGAACAAGAAACTGAGGTTATAAACTAATCACATGATATATAGATAATTTGTAACATAAGTTCAAGTTTATTACTTGAATTCTTTTGTAAGCCATACTTTTTTTCTTTAGGTACCAAAACAGAAATATAAAATTTCTACCAAAACCAATAAAGTCTATGATATTACTGAAAGAAAGGTAAGTTTAAAGTTTATTTTCAATTTAGCACTTAATTTTTAATCTTATACTAAATGAAATTCTAAAAACAACTGTTTAGCCCTAGCTGATTTGGCTCAGTGGATAGTGTGTCAGCCTGCTGACTGACTGAAGGGTCCCGGGTTTGATTCTGGTCAAGGGCATATACCTTGATGGCAAGCTCAATCAGCCAATCGATATGTCTTTTTCACATCCATGTTTCTCTCTGTCTCTCCCCCCGCTTCCGCTCTCTCTAAAAAAATCAATGGAAAAATATCCTCAGGTGAGGATTAACAAAAAAACAAAACAACAACAAAACACACACACAACTGTTTAAAAATTTTGCCTTTTAGAAAATAGTCACATTAAAAGTTTTTCATTTATAGATATTTCATTTAAGGTGTTATAAAAAACTCTTTGCTTATTCTTTAATTAATCTTTAAACATTTAAAAGTTAAAAGTGTTTATTGGAATAAATTCAGGCAAGTAAATCATGGAACAGAATAGAGAAGAAGAAACAGACTCACACACATGTGGACACGTGATATATGACTATGGCAATATTAAAGATTGGTGAAGAAAGGATGGATTACTCTATAAATAGCACTGGCACAATTAGTTACCCATATGTAAGAAATAAAAATTGACCTTTATGTCAGTGTACATACAAAGATCAATGTTAGGTTAATTAAGGACCTAAGTGTAAAAGACAAACCTTTGGAAAGACATATGGGAAAATCCTATATAATAAAAGGCTAATATGCAAGTCGACCGAATGGCCAAACGACCGGTCACTATGAGCTGTCCCCTAGTGGTCAGTGCGCTCCCACAGGGGGAGCACTGCTCAGCCAGAAGCTGGGTTCATGGCTGGCCTAAGCTGGCAGTCGGACATCCCCTGAGGGCTCCCAGACTACGAGAGGGTGCAGGCCGGGCTGAGGGACCGCCCCCCCCACCCCCCGAGTGCACAAATCTCGTGCACCGGGCCTCTAGTACTTTTATAAACTTGCACTAGAGAGAATTTTTTAAGTAAGATAAAAATTATAGACTATGCCCTGGCTGGTGTGGTTCAGTTGGTTGGAGCATCATCCTGTACAACGAAAGATCACGGGTTCAATTCCAGGTCAAGGCACATACCCAGGTTGTGGGTTTAATCCCCAGTCAGGTGCCTGTGGGAGGCAGCCGATCAATGTTTCATTCTCACATTGATGTTTCTCTCTCAAATCAATAGAAGCATGTCCTCCAGTGAGGATTAAAAGTAAATAAGTTATAGACTATAGAGGAAAAAGTGATAAATTTTTCTACATTGAAATTTAAAATGTTTGCTTCTTAGAAGTTTCCAAAAAAGAGTGAAAAGATAAGCTCCAAATCAGGAGTTATATTTCTGCCATATCTGATCACAGATTCATAACCAAAAAATATAATCTATAAGAAAAAGACAAACAACCTGATAGAAAAATGTTCTGAAAGAAACTTGAATGGTTAATGAATGTATGAAAAGGTGCTCAGTCTTATCAGTAACCAGGAACATAGCAAATGAAAACACATTGAGTTATGTATTCACAGCCTCAAAAGTGACAAAATTATAAAAATATGACAATATTAATAACTCTGTATTCTGCTGATAAAATAAAAATTGGTACGACCTCTGAGAAACTGTTTGGCATTATCTAATAAAGTCAAATTTTCATGCTCTTTATGGCCAAGCCTTTCTATTCTTTGGTATATATCCAAAGGAAATTCTTCCTCAAGTATATAGGGTGTCCCCCCAAAAATATATATATACTTTGAATAATTATAAAAGCAGTGTTTATTAAAATACACTTCATTTTCAAAATTGAGCTATTAGTTGATAAAGTGTGTATACATATTTTGGGACACTCTGTATGTGTATATGAATGTTCCTACATGGATAAACAAAATATTACATATGCATAAAATGGAATATTATTCCCCTTAAAAAGTTAAAAAGGAAGGAAATTCTGACACATGCTATATCATGGATGAAATTTAAAGACATGCTAAGTGAAGCAGGCCAGCACAAAAGGACAAATACCTGATTTCACTTATATGAGGTAACTAGAGTAATCAAATTCATAGAGGGAGAGTAGAATGGTGGTTGTCAGAGGAGGCAGAAATGGGGAATTGTTTAATGGGTGTAGAGTTTCAGTTTTGCAGGATGAAGAGAGTTCTGGTGATGGACGGTGGCAATGATTGCACAACAGTGAGAAAGTTACTTAATGTCACTGAACTACACACTTAAAAAAATGATTAAGATGGTAAATTTGGCATATTTTACTACATTTTTTAATTGTAAAATTTGAAAAAAAAAGTTCATAGTAATACTGTAATGATAGCAAAAACATTAGAAACAACTCAATTGTCCATAAATAATAAAAGGTAGAGTACTTACATAGTGTAACTGAATAAGCTACAATTTCGTGAAAGAATCTCAAAAAACATAATGTGGAATACAAAATGGCAAGAATATGTCCAGCCGGTGTAGCTCAGTGGTTGAACGTTGACTCATGAACCAGGTGGTCACAGTTTGGTTCTTGGTCAGAGCACATGCCCAGGTTGCAGGCTTGATCCCTAGTAGGGGTGTGCAGGAGGCAGCTAATCAATGTTTCTCTCTCATTATTGATGTTTCTATCTCTTCCTCTCTCTGAAATCAATAAGAACACATTAAAAAAATGACAAGAATATATAACAATATGATTCCATTTAGGCAAAGTTTAAAAGTAGGCAAAACTGACAGATTTTATAAGAATATATATATACTAGAGGCCCCGTGCACAAAATTCATGCACTC